AGGACGTCAAGGTGATGAGAGATCGTTTTGGTGCTAATTCCCGGCATGTCGGCATGCGTCCATGCAAAGCAGTCTAGGTTCACCCAGAGCAAGGTGATGATGGCTTCGCGCAATGTTGGATCCAGTCCTTTCCTGATTCTCAGCTTTCTATCTGAGTTATCTGCCGAGGCGAGGATTTCTTCGACCTCTTCCTCTGCTGCCGGGGTGGTTGGTGGCTCATCACCACACTGACCTCATTTCCCTTGATTTCCACCATGCCATTTGTCGTGAGAAACCGCAGGGATTGGTGGTACATGGATGGGATAGCGGCCATCATGTTGATCCAGTGTGTTCCCATAATTGCATTGTGCGTCGAAGGAGCACGGAGACTAAGAAAGTCGTCTCTTTAATCACTGGTCCGGCCATTACTGGGAGGGTTATTTCTTTCAGTGACCTCGTGGCTTCGTCGCTGAACCCTACCATGGTGACGTACCGGGGCACAAGGTCTGAGTTCAGAATCTCCATTTTGTGTAGGGGTTCCACGAATAGCACGTTTCTAGTGCTTTTGGTGTCGACTAGCAGTCTCTTGACTTGGAATCTTAAGATTCCGAGCGAGATCACAAGCGGCTTATTGTGAATCGAGGCTGCTAGGGCTGCGGCGGGTGTCAGGAAATTTTTTTCCTGCCCGGACATCCCCTCGGTGGGGGCTCTCTCTCCCATGGAATCGGATTAGGGTTTGCCTCCGGGTGTTTGGGTCGTGATCCGGGAGGCCCGCGGTTAGTTGAAGGGCATTGATCATTTCACGGGTTTCTTGGGCTTTCTTTGCAATACCGCCTTTCTTTTTCTCGAGTAACCGAGCCCGCGCCTTTTCTGAGAGGAGATGGGTGAGCAGTCCTTTGTCGATGAGCTCCAGGATTTCGTTCTTTAGTGCACAACATTCTTTGGTAACATGTCCTTTATCCTTGTGGAACTCGCAATAGTCGAGGTTTTCCCGGGAAGGGTCTTCTGGAAACCTCTTTCTGGGTAGAGGCCACTTGATGGCGGGCCCGGTAGTTTTCAGGGCCTCGATCGTTACTATCGGGGTGGCATATATCTTGAGTTCGTCGAACACATCTCGATTTGGGCCATATCGCCTGATGCTGGGTTGGAAAACTTCCACCTGCCCCCAAAGACTTGCAGGCTCGGGGATCCAGAATGCCCGCTGGATGATCTGGTGCCGTAGCTGCCTCTTTAGTTCGGGTATCCCCCAGAGGGTTCCTCTCGGCCTCTCTGTTGCCTCTGGGTACGCGGCGCCGCGGCGATTATATGGTATGTATCGCTCTCCCACCGGATCTGTCTGTGCGAATAGTTCAAGACGTCTTCCATGGTGGAGCATTTGTTCTTTGTCAGGTTTTTGTAAAGTACTGAGCCCTTCAGGAGTCCCTTTCTGAAGGCGTGTACCGCCGTGACTTCGTGGCACCCTGATATTTCTACCCTGATGGCGTTAAAGCGGGTTACGTAGGATCGGAGTGTCTCCTCCGTTCCTTGGTTCACGTCAAACAGGTGCCCCATGGCCCGGGCCGGTTTCCGGCTGCTGGCAATCTGCTGGACAAATAGGTTGTGCAGCTGTGCAAAAGATTCGATCGTCTTTTTGGGGATGCTGATTAACCATTGCAAGGCGTGCCCCGAGAGCATTACACCAAACCCTTTGCACAGGCATGCATCCCTGATGTATGCTGAAGGCGACGCCGAGAACATTCTCTATTTGTATTGAGCAATGTGATCCTCGGGGTCGGTGATTCCGTCGTAAGGTTTCATCGCTGGGTACCCAAAAGTTTTGGGTACTTCGATGTTGGTGATGTCTTTCGAGAAAGGGGGTCATTGTATAACTTCCTTGTGGCTTGGGTTACCCGCGGGGGTAGCCCTGTGATCATTGACAGTTGGGTGTCTATGTTTGCCATATGCTCTACCATCCTCTAGGCTATGATTCGGTCTAGATCCATCGGCCCCGTGGCTCCCTTCATGGCATCGTCTCAGGCTCGTCATCCTCTGGCCTTGTCCAGGTGGGCGGAGTGATCTGCTTCTGCGGTTCCATGAGAAGCCAGCATGGTAGTGTCGTCTGCTAAGGAAAACCTTGCAAATGGCCCGCGGCGTTCCGGGCCATAGTAGAGTGGCGCGTTTCGATCTATCAAGATTGTCGGACCCTAGGCGTCCATGGGTCTTGTGGTAGCGTGACCTGGAGGTGTTCTCGCGCCCCAGGCTTGCTGCTCTTACTGGCGGTTTCCCTCCGTGACTCGCTCGAGATCGGCTTGGAGGGGACAAACATCTTCGTAGTCAAGTATTTAGCGGAACGTTGTTGCTGGAGGGGCCATCGGGGGTGCTGGCTGGTAGTCCCCTGAGCGTAGTCCCCTCGGGTGCTTTGTTCTGGTGGGCTCTGCGAGTCGCTTTCTTTGTTCAATATTGGGCTTGTTCTTCCCTTCTCTTTCTAGCGCCAACTGTTTGGGAGCAAATTTTGGGATGCCACGTGGGGGATCTGATTGGTCGTCGTCCGTGCGGGGGAGATTTGAACTTTGAGGGATGGGTCAGCCTATAATGAAGGAACAAAAAAAGAGGATCTCGGTGAACTGGAAAGGGGTTGCTCTTCCGATTAAAGTATCGGAAAGATGGAATATGGGGTGCTTTGTCAACTCGGAGGGATCTTGGTAGAGCTTTTGGGAGTAATGTTTTCTAATGAAAATGAAGCTAGGAGATGAAGTTATCACTCTACATCTCTCTCCCTCTCGTTGGCACGAGGGGTGTGTTTTTATAAGGGATATCTGGTTCCGGGTCGGATCCGGATTCGGATCTCCAAGTCCCTCGGATCGGGTACTAACATTCGTCATTTTCTATGATTATCACCATTCTCTGACTCTTCCATGCATGTGATCAGAGGAAGGGTTTCCGACCTGCTCCGCCTTCTCCTAGTCGCCATACATCTCATTTAATGCGCCTCGGGTTTTCGGCACGTCCGTTATCCACATGTTAGGCCCTCGCAGACCGTATTAACATATTGCTGCCCAACAATAAGAAAAGTTATAAATTAATAAACTAACACATATATACATATATGGATGTATAATGACAAATTTATAAAGATAATTGCTAACTTATTTTAACATAAAGTATGTTTACTACTCTTATTTTTATTGGAGAAAATTTAGTAAATAGCCTTAGATAATAGTGAAATCAGAAAAATAGAGCTAATAATAAAAAAATTAGGTTGATATATATTATACATAAAATTTATAACTATTTTGCTTTTATAATTATTTGATGCAGTTTTGGTAGATAACAGTTCAATTACCATGCTAACTAATATGATATCGTGATAACTGTGTTGACTTTGCTAACTAATATGATACTCGATTAGCACATTGTACAAATATCGAGTTAACATGATAACTATTGTGTTAACGTTACTATTATTTTATGAAAAATAGGAGTTAACTCTGTTAACTGTATAAGTTATGCAAAATTATCGTGTTAACAATGTTATCATATCAAAAATTTATCATAGTAACGTTGTAAGCATGATAACCATCGTGTTAACTTTGATATTATCAACTATCGTGTTAACGTTGATATCACCACCACCACCACTTATACCCACCACCACCACCACCACTGACACTATCACCACCATCGCCATCACCAACACCACCACCACCACCACCACCACCACCACCACCACCGACATTGCTATCACTTTCATCACCACCGGCTCGCCACCACCAACACTACAACCACCACCACCACCAACCATCACCACTATCGACAATACCATTACCGCCATCACCACCACCACCATCGGCCATCGACAACACCATCACCACCACCGACCATCACTAACATCACCACCATCGACAACACCATCACCACCACCGACCATCACCAACACCACCACCAATACTATCCCCATCATCAAGCACCACCACCACCACCACCACTGCTGCCGACCACTTCATCGTCATCATCGACCACACTTCTCTTCTTTTTGTTTCTCTTTTTTTTTTCAATTTTAGAAAAATGTTTAAAAAAAGTGTGTAAAGAAATGAGAGAAAAAGAGAATGTGTGAAAGAACTGATAGGATATAAAGACTATCATCTTTTGATTTGCAATAATATCATGTAAAAATTGTGAGAAGCTGTCACTTAATTTTCTTATTATTTGAGTTTATTCCTTGCTATTACTCTTTTTATTGTGCTTGATGCAAAAAATATTAGGGAAATTAGCTGATATAGCCATATCAAAGGCTATAATTCAGAAAATAACCATACTAAAGTAGATGTTATTATATTATTTATATATTTTACAGTATATACCAAAAACTCTTTTGTTTAAAATAGAGTGAAAATAATTGCTGACGTTAGCAGTAAAAAATAAAAATAAATTTGAACATATCAATTGATACATATATAGAAAGAGTCCGCCATTATAATTGGCGATCTTGATTTTACAGTCGCTCTTTAATTTGAATACACGACCGACAAATAGGTTATAGTGTTTCAAATGAGTACAATACTATACTATACTTAGTGAAGTATGTTTCGCATAGTCGTACAAATAGACTATTTCTATATTGTATTCACTGGCGGTCCAAGAATTTTTTTTCACCTAAGTCATAAAGTAACTTAAGTATTACTTAATTGTATTATTACTTTAAAATAAAACAAAAAAACTCTAACTTAGGTGCATTGGTGATCGTTCGAATCCAAAATAGAGAGTTCAAACTTCAGAAATTAACCAACTGAGCCACTTCTCTTTTATTGTTTAAGCGTAAAAAATTATACATTTAATATTTAACATAGGTCAGGTGACCCGTCTTTTATATATATGGATCCGCCCCTGATTGTACTATACTATTTCTATATTGTACTATATTATTGTTTCCATATACTAAGTAATCTGTTTCTTCAGTTCCCAAATCAGTAAGTACTCATCGACATAGTGAATTTGTTTCTTCAGTTGATGACTTGTAATCTGTTTCCTCCATTGGATCAGGGAATAGACACTGACATACACTTACACAGCAATAATGTCATCAGCAAATTTCATAGTATCTATTTCCATTTAAAATTAAAAAAATATATTATAATTTCTTTTAGAGGTATAGTTATTTATTTAATTTTTTGAATATGATACTTATATTTTTGTATTGTTTTTCCAATATAATTATTATGCTAAAAAGCCAAGAATATTATTCATTTTAAAATTCAATTAGGTCTTGTCCCTCTCTCTTCTTTTCTATTACTTCAAGGCGACAACAATTAGATTGCGTGCCTTCTTCTCAAACATCAGTTTTTTTTTCTCTTCTTTCTCCGATCAACTATGGCTTATTTAGCTCCGATTTCTCCATCCTTATCAATCATTAGAAAACCCCAATTAACCATATTCCAATTCGTTTTTTCCCCACCGAACCCACTTTTCTCTCGACCTAGGATTCAGAATTTAAGGATGCCCAGGAATAAGACATCTTCATCTTCGGTGGTTGTCGCGGCAACAACGGCGGCGGAGAAGCAGAAGAAGAGATATCCCGGAGAATCGAAAGGTTTTGTAGAGGAGATGAGGTTTGTGGCGATGAAACTTCATACGAAAGAGCAAGCCAAGGAAGGAGAGAAAGAGACAAAATCTCCTGAGGAACGTCCTGTGGCTAAATGGGAACCAACTGTTGCAGGTTACTTGAGGTTTTTAGTGGACAGTAAGTTGGTTTATGACACTCTTGAAGGGATTATTGACGAAGCCACTTTCCCAAGTTGTGAGTTTTTTTTCATCTTTGTTCCTTTGAATTTAAATATTCTAAGCTTAATTTGATGATTTGGGTCAATTGTTAAAGGGATTTGGAGAATACTTATTTTACATTCGAATTAGTAATAGTATCTATCCATTGATAGAGATGTTTCCCTTTGCCCTATTTATTATCTTGTTTTGGATTTGATTCGTTCACGTTTTATGGCATCTTAGTTTTCGTAGTCTTGGATTTGAGATGGTTTTGTATGAATGATTGAAGAGCTCTCCAGGGGTTGTTTAATGCTATATATATGTACAACTTTCGAAATCTACTCGAAGTTTTGGACTTGATTTACACTGAAAGTCCACCAATCCTAGTTTTGGTACACACGTGTTCTTGCAAACCTTGCAAAGAATAGAGTCTTTAATACAATCTTAGAGGGGTCATGGTTAATGCTAGCTCGGAAAAAGAAGCTGAGTTTCCTTATGTACTGGAAACAGATACCAATTTGTGAAATTTACTGAGAGTTTTGGTTTTGATTCACAGTGAAAGTTCACTGATCTTAGTGTAGTTTCCGTTTCTTGGTTCATATGCGTCATGACAAATCTTACATAGAATTTAGAGTCTTCAAAACAATATCTGAGGGATTACAGTTATGCTAGCTCGGAAATAGAAACGAATTCCTTCTGCAATAAAAAAAAAATGTTTACACAAAAGTAGGTCTTTTTTCTTGTGTAACCTCATGCATTATGCGTTTTCTGTAGATGCCGAATTCAAGAACACGGGATTGGAAAGGGCAGAGAAATTGGCCATTGATTTGGAGTGGTTCAAGGAACAAGGTTACCAGATTCCTGAACCAACTGCTCCTGGTAAAACATATTCTCAATATTTAAAGGATTTAGCAGAGAATGATCCTCAAGCATTCATCTGTCACTTCTACAACATCTACTTCGCCCACAGCGCTGGTGGCCGAATGATTGGGAGGAAGGTCAAAAAAATATTTATGCACTAAACTCACTTGGAAAAAATAAGAAGAGACTTCTTTTGAAGCTTTTACAAATTTTGCAGGTAGCAGAGAGAATACTAGACGGTAGAGAACTCGAGTTCTACAAATGGGACGGCGAACTTTCCCAGTTGTTGCAGAACGTCAGGGAAAAACTGAACAAAGTTGCCGAGGAGTGGACAAGAGAACAGAAAAATCATTGTTTGGAAGAGACCGAAAAATCGTTCAAGTATTCTGGTGACATACTTCGTCTCATATTGTCATGATTTGATTCAGTCTCTCTAGATCTCTCAATACGGCTTGTGGCAACTTAAATCATGCTCAAGTTATATTCCTGTAATATATTAATTCCTTCAGCTTGTATTAAACTCTCCTTTGCTTCAAGGTTATTATTATTACGTTAAAAGTCAATCATTTGTGGAAGCCCCTTACCACAATGATAGTTTATTAATGTTTCTATCTGAGTTTATGATAGTTTATTAATGTTTCTATACTATGAAGTCTGAGTTTTAGAGCCTTTGTTTTTAATTATACAAAATTAATGAAGCAATTAATTTTTAATTATGCAAGATTAACGAAGAATGTTGTAAATTAATCGAAGCAAGCTTACAAGAGATCTTTGTGGTGCAAGGTGCAGATAGAGCCGTTAATCGTGGATCTTCGTAAGACGATATAATTGACCGTTCTAAAATCGTCGATGTAACAGTTATTACAGTTGCAACAGATTAATAAATCAATATTAAAAAAAGATACAAATCATTTATGGGACGAAATGCTTGGGTGGTATATGTTTAATGACAAGTGCATATTTGATTTAGCCAAATGAAGCAGTGTTCAGTGTTTCTTATCAAACCATGAGCTTTATTGGCCTAATCAGCAACACCAAAGTAGGCATGTACATAATACCTGTATCTAAAGATCTGAACTAGAATCGATCCAAAATTGCGGTTCAGATTGAGTTTCAGATCCCATATATATCTGATTGCCTTTTGTCTTAAAGAAATTTGGTTCTTGGTTCGGATCCAGTTCTATCCGGTACGGATTGAGTTTTATCCCAGTTACCAGCATCTTAAAATATCTCAAAACTGAATAAATATGTAATGACACAGCTTCAGGCCCAATAGGAAAAGGAAAGGTCCATAAGTCTCAGACCTAAATAGAAAGGGTATTAGGATTTTCTCAGGATCCCCTCTATATAAAGAGAGCTGGAGAGTTGGAATTGTCATCACAATTCCCAGAGAACTCAGAAATAGAACTTAGGAATCCTAGCCGAGCAAGCCGTCATTCACCGCCGTCTGCCGCCGCCGAGGAGAGACATTGCCATTCATCTGTTCCGAGCCGCCGTTTTCTTGAGTCATTTGCCTTCCGTCGTTAGATCCCTAAGCCTTAGTTTTCCTTTTAGCTTTCATTCGATTAGGCAAAGGTGAGGATGTGTTTATGCATTTCCTTCGATATCGTTGTCTATCTTGTTTCTGTTAGATCTAGATCTCAAGTCTTCAAGACCTTACAAGTTCTGCTCTAGTTCGTAACTTGTAGATCTGTGATGTGTGCTAGGTTATTATTTACTTTCAGAACTTAGATCTAGATGTGGATTAATATGGTTGATTGTTGATTGATAATGTCTTGCTTGTGAGAATTATGAATCTGCGTTGCATATAAAGTGTTGAAAGCACAATTCCATAAGGGACCGAAGTACAGGACATGTTGAGATGTTAGTACTGTTCGGTTGTGTGGTGACCTGCGGTGGTTGGTATTGAGACCCATGCCATAGTGTTCACATGAGGCCTGGTTTTCGAACCCGTCTGGGCAAGGGCATTAAGCTTGCGTGGTGCAACCGGGGGCTGGGGTGTAAGTCACAGAACGTCGACTGGGGCGTAGAACCAGGATGGGGAACTGTATCGCGAGTGGTGTGCAGTGACCCATTTCTTCTATTAATTTATGCTCTTCGTTATTGATTGTTAGATGAATCATTAAACTGCGCTTGTTCGTTTAGCTCTGGCTAGCGACATGTTTGGGTAATGGTATATGTGGTGGACCACATGTATGCATTCTCCTAGGTAATTTAAATTACTCATCCCCTCCCTGTCCCTTTTCCCCCTTGCGCAGGTGAGCAGGAGCAGCAAGAGTGATTGGCGTGTGATAGAGGTGATTGGTTCTTTAGTTTGATCTTTGGGGAACCTAAAACACTTACCTTTCTATTTTCAAATGATTTCAGTTGGTTTTGAGACTTATTTGTGGGTTATTTCGAGTTGAGTTGGTATTTGCCAGACTATTTGAGTTTATTACTAAAAAGGGTATTAATTTGTGGTGATTATTGTGTGGTAACTTGGTAGGAAAATTGAGTGTATAACACGTCATCTCATTTGTGGAAAGACGGGTGTTACATAGTGGTATCAGAGCCAAGGTTAACAGTCAAACTGGTTCTGACCCGGGAGACATGTTTTCAAAGAAGATATCGTTTTCATAAGCTTTTAAAGTGGGTTGGGGATTTTTCAAAAGTAAAACAGAACACACCTCACCGGATCACCCTGCTCTCCAACCTCAGCAAGCAGCATTTTTATTATCTTCAGTATTGTCTTCAGTTTCGTCTGCATCTGTTGTCTACATCTACATTTGTGTCTGTCTCCACCTACGGCCTGATGTTATTGCATATTTCATACATTTTACATACTCATTAGTTAGCTTTTCATGCATTTGTATCACGTTTTAGGTTAGATTGCATCACTTAGGGTCCTAGAGCAATCTTGCATCAACATACGCATTTTCCTTGCATTTTGCATCATATTCAGGTTGTTTCTGGCTGCTTTGGAGTCGTGGAGGTTCGTGGACATGTTGAGGCTGATGTAGCAGTTCGGGGGAACTCGAATATATGCTAAGGATCAGAGATCGAGGAGCAGATCGAGCATGGCCGGTCGATCTAGGAGTTGATCGACCAGAAGATCGAGCCAACCAGGCGATCCAAGGAGAATGATCGAGACAAGGATCGAGTGAAGCAATCAATCAAATGGTACGGACGTAAATGATGCCATGCAGAGCGAGAGTCAGATTGAGTACACCACTCGATCCAGCCGAAGATCGATACCGAGATCGGATGCAACACTCGATTCGCCGATGATGATCGAGACCCAGATCGAGCCAAAGACACGATGTCCGGATATGATCGAGAGAACCGCTCGATCTTGGAATCGATCTCTGTCCTTTCAACCGTTTTTGGCCGCTAGCAAGGGGGGGACCATCAGCTTGATTCGGCATTTTGGGAAGGCGGCGACGTCCTTTTCCCATAACAACTTTAGATCCTTATCTTTTTCCTTATGTTTTCTCTCTCGTTTTCGTGAAGAACACCATTGTTGAACTCGCGTTTTTCGTAAGCTTTGTAATCAAATTATTTCCGTTTCAATCTAGTTTTCTTTTCATGTTCATCGTCTCGCTTTACATGCTTTGCTTGATTTACTCTATGTGTAGCGAGTAGTTTATTTGGGTTCGGGGTTGAGAGGATTAAGGGGTCTAAAGGGTTTCGATCTTGGGGTTTTTCTAAACGTTTTCAATGGCTATCTCTTCTAAGGTGTCGAGCTCTCAATGCTTGAAGACTCTCACGCCAAGAGCATCATGATCCGAGAGGTTCCTTACCTGGACAGGATTCAGGAGCCTCGGAAGATCACACCTTAGAGACTAGTTACCCCTTCCCAAAAGCCATGGAAGTTTGGGGGATTAGTTAAGCCATTCATTTGAAATCTGTTTTCCTTGCCCTTCGACCTCTCTTTCCACCAAAAGCCATGGGTTTGGAGGAGAGGATGAAGGAGTGATATATACCGAAAGCCACGGATAGATCTTGCTTAGTTTTCAAGGCTTAGAGATCCTCACCAAGTGAGTCGATTTAAATTTTTAAACCCAAGGTCGAACCTTTGAAACCCCTGACCATGAATCTCAACCCTAGGCCCTTTCTCTTAGCATCTTTACATCTTATCTCGTCTTTCGCTTGATCTCTGATAGCATCCTGGTCTTTAGTTTTACTGTTCTTGCATTTTTAGACGAGATCGATTGTTACTGCTCGATCTAGTGGTCGATCTCATGGTCGATCCACTAGTTGAATTTTAATAATTCGAAGGTTTCTCCTTTAATTATTCTGTTTGTTTCTCGTGGTAGTTTCTTCATTTCTAGTATTTTTAAAATAGGTTTCATTCCATTTAAGTTGCTGCATCTAGTTTTTAGAGATTTTCTCATAAATCATCTCATTTCGCTTAGATTTGCATTAGTCCTTGTAATCTCTGTGCATTCTCTATCATCCTAGGCATGGATTGACTCTCTCTTGCTTGCTGTACTACAACATGTCTTGCATTTAAGTTTGATAACCTCACTGCAATTTAACCCTTGCTCAAAAAGTGTTTATCAAATAGCGCCGTTGCCATCCTAGGACTGTTTAGAGAACATAGAGATTTGGGACTTAGCAAAGACTAAGTCTTTACCTTTTCAAGTTACTAATCCTTCTACTCTCAAACGTGTGTTTTCAGGTACATGAATCTTCGTTCAAGGGGAGACAACAATCTACTACAACCCTTAGACAACATTCATCAACTTGGTCACTCACGGCAAAGGAGAGTCAGAGAACAAACAAGAGCCTTTGAGGAGATTGTTCAACACGGTTTGGTTGACTTTGAAGCTATGGCTGAACACGAGAATCCATAAGGACCTCCTCCAGCTCACGGGGCAGCAGGACGGGGCAATGGAAACCCCCAACACGCGGCTAGACCCCCAAGGATCATAGGAGCCGGAGATGCTCCCAATACTCACCACAATAGGTTTGGGATCACTCCTCCTCCTGTACAAAACAACAACTTCAAGATCAAGCCAGGTTTCATCTCAATGGTGCAAAACAACAAGTTCCACGGCTTAGCAATGAAAGACCCCTTGGAGCACCTAGACAACTTCGAGCAAGTATGTGGGATGATACAGATCAATGGCATATCCGAAGATGCTTTCAAGCTGCGTCTCTTCCTCTTTTCACTCGGAGACAAAGCCAGACATTGGGAGAAGACCCTCCCACAAGGCACCATCACATCATGGGCCGAGTGTAAGAAGGCCTTTCTCTCAAAGTTCTTCTCAAGCACCAGTACAGCACGGTTGAGAAGCGAAATCAGCGGTTTCACTCAAAGGAACAATGAGACATTCAACGAGGCAATGAAGCGTTTCAAAGACTACACGATCCAATGTCCTCATCACGGGTTCAGCGAGGAGACACTACTCAGTACCATATACCGTGGAGCTTCACCAAAGATCAGGTTGTTGCTTGACACAGCTAGCAAAGGGAACTTCCTCGGTCAGGAGGTAGAAGAGGGTATGGAGCTGATAGAAAACTTGGCATTGAGTGACGGCAATTACGCTGAGGATTATGACCGTGCACCGAGAGGATCAGAGCTAGAGTCTCACAAGAAGGAGCTGAAATCTTTGCATGAGAAGATAGATAAGCTGGTGTTAGCCAATCAGAAGCATGTTCACTTTGTTGGTGAAGCTGATGAGAACCAAGAGGAGTTAGAGTTGAGCCAAGAAGAAGCCAATTGGGTAGCGGGACAGAAAAACT